GATACAACCAAATCCCAAAAACTCTCAAATTCGCAAAAGTTCAAAACCAAAAAAAAAGATTTCTTAAAGAAACGCAAAAATTTTAACTGACCAAAAATTTTCGCACCCAATAACCTCGGGGCCCCACGTTGGGCGCCATTTGTAACGTGACATTTTTCATGGGGGTTAAAATGCCTATTACCTTCGCCCTTCTTCCCCTGAATCTAGTTAAACTCGAAAATACAGAAATCTATGGGCGCCAGGTAATCTTTAACCGGAATTACCAAACCGGAGGAATCTACAAATTCAACTCTATTGATTCGAAAAACTCTAAAACGTACAAAGAAAAGGGGAGAAAACTAGATTTTTGGGGAAAGGTAACGGTCCTTGGTTCGCTCAGTGTGCTAGGTTGTGGAGTGAGGGGTGGATTTCAGGTGGAAACGGGTTAATGGGGCGGTCAAAACTGCAAAACAGCAAAAAAAAGAAGGAGATCGACATTATCCTTACTGGTTTCACTATTGAAACTTAAGAATCACCAATTTTACAAAAAAAAGACATTTCAATTCTCTCAAAAAAATATTTAAAAAAAGAAAAAAATCTTCAATTAATAACTAACAATACTGACAATAATAATAATCATAATATTAATTCCGCACTCTGATAGAAAATAGTCTAATCTGACAAAAATATTCGAAGAAATTAATATCGCCGATAAATACCTCAAATATGCTGAAATAAACATTTGGGGAGAGTAGAAATACACGCTAATCCCTGAATATCCAAAAAATAATTTTCCCTCAATAATTAGCCGCCTCAGGTTAATTAATCCCCGAGCGGAATGCTAAACGCTAAAATGCCCGTGTGAAGCGAGGATAGCCACGTGTAAACGTGGATGGGTATCTGAGGTGAGTCGAGAGTCGGGGGAATTCCCCCTCGAGAAACACGGCATACACANAATATTAATTCCGCACTCTGATAGAAAATAGTCTAATCTGACAAAAATATTCGAAGAAATTAATATCGCCGATAAATACCTCAAATATGCTGAAATAAACATTTGGGGAGAGTAGAAATACACGCTAATCCCTGAATATCCAAAAAATAATTTTCCCTCAATAATTAGCCGCCTCAGGTTAATTAATCCCCGAGCGGAATGCTAAACGCTAAAATGCCCGTGTGAAGCGAGGATAGCCACTTGTAAACGTGGATGGGTATCTGAGGTGAGTCGAGAGTCGGGGAGAATTCCCCCTCGAGAAACACGGCATACACGCCAGCGAGAATGGGCTGGAAATCCATAAAAAAACCAAAAATGGAATATCCGGAAATCGGCAGAGCGAATTTTCGGAAACCCTGAGATGAATTACTCAGGGAAGCCCCCCGAACACATTAATCCACAAATCCTAATTTTAATTAACTATCTACGCGAACCAACTCAATTTGAACACGAGTGGAATTTCTTACGCGCAAAAACCCACGTATAACGGAAATGGACACGCTCTGGCAATTAAACGTGAGTAATTATCCCCTTGAATAACCCACCAAAAATCACGGAAACCACCCAATCATGAGTGAAAAAGGGGGGGAATCGGCACCTCACAATTTGGATTAAGCATCACAATCACCGTTATAACGGAATAAAATGCGACATACGGGGCTGAAGACCCCGTAGTCGAATAACTAAAAGCCGAAATGAATTCGGAAAAATACATAAACCGAACTAAAAACTCACGATCTTCCTGTGTTTAGAGGTCCTCTTCCCTTTTCGGACCATCCTGGATCGGTACGGCTCCTCCAAAAGGTATAATAATCCACGTGGCACAATTACGTTGCGTGGACACAGTCAAAATTTCGCACGTGACTAATGATCGACGACGGTCAACACGGAACTAACTGCCCTGGGTCAGTGTCACGGGCACTAACCGCAGCGTGAATTCTANAATTTCGCACGTGACTAATGATCGACGACGGTCAACGCGGAACTAACTGCCCTGGGTCAGTGTCACGGGCACTAACCGCAGCGCGAATTCTGGCCAACAGAGACGGGCTCTGATTGGCGGAGATTTTCGGCACATCAAGCGTTGGCTTTGTTGGCGCCACCAAATGCTTTTGGGGAATTCAACCGCGACAAATACTCAACTCTAATTTTTCTATACGTAACTTTATAAAATTGACTAATGATTACCTGGGCCGAACTGGTGGGTGTTCGGAAAATTACTAAGGGTTTTTGACGCCTCCTACGGGTCGGTTCTCCTGGATTCACGGGGTTAAAAGACCGATACTACAAACTAATTCTCCTAATTTTTCAAAACTCTAAGCAACCTGGCAATTCACGGGATAAAAGGGTTGCACTTGTTCCTCGTGACCTTCCACCGAAAATCTAAAACGTAACCATCTAACCACCGTAAAATCCATTATAATTTGGAGCGCCGACATTTCAGCCGGACCTAATCGATTTGCCGTAGGATTAACAATAGGGTGGCTCCCATAAGAATTATCGGATGACTCATAACTTGGCCCTTCTACGCGATAATTCCATGGGCCCTCAAAAACGCGTAATTATGCCGGTCTTGAGATTAAACACATGATGCTATGGAATTAAAACACAAATTTAGCCACACCATGGCGTGGAAACCCCCAAACCTCATGGTCGTCACGAGGATTGGACTTCTGACCACCCCGGGGTGGAAAAGTGAAACGCTCTCTCTCTCGCTACCTTTTACTCACGGGTCGCCTTCCTATGTCACGGGGGGGTTAGTTGTTTNGGGGGGGGGGGGGGGGGGTTAGTTGTTTTGATGGCAGAATCGCGTCCTAACGAACATCCCCACATGTTCGTTACAAAATTAATCGAGTATCTCCCTCAAACTCCTCTGCATTGATAACAAACGTGCCAGATTTTTACACCGACACTGCATACATTCATTCCTATGCAACGAAATTATGGGAAAATATCTGATATTATTGAAGCACTCGTGGTAGTACAACTGAAAATATTGTTAGTATTACAATGCTAGGTAAAAAAAGTTTACTCTGTTATAAATTTATGTGGATTATTTTTATGAATTACATATTCAGCGATACCTAATTTATACGTAATTTAAAGTTTTATACTGAATTTGTAAAACGTGAAAAAAAACAGAATAATGATACAATTTCCTAACTCCAAGAAGATTTCAAAATAATTCAATGGAACAACTCCACTCCTAATTAAGTTCTAACAATGAATCAAGCAAGGTTGAAATTGTAATGTATTCAGGAATTTAACAATGTCGTTTGTCTATTCAAATTCTAGAAAAGTTGATACATTTAATATTAAAAACTGGACGGACCCGTTATTCGTTACATAGAGAAAAAAAATCGACCTGCGCTAGAGAAGCTCGGGCCAGCTGGGCAACCCTCTCCACTTCAGTATATATAACCCCGATAAAGCTACCACACAATTTTCATATAACTTGTGATGCGGCAAGAGCGCAAGAGAATCGAGACAAGACAAGAGTTCTGCTGCGAGAGGCAAGACGAGAGACAAATTTTTCTCTTGCTAAGAAAGGCAAGACAAGACAAGAGGGATGTTCGCAAGAGGCTAGAAGAAATAAGAAATATGGAACGAAAAAAGAAATAATTGATTAAAAATTCCATGAGAATCAAACGTCACGAGGGTCACAATGGGATGATCCAATTTCATGAGAGTTGAGGGTCACAAGGGTCACAAGGGGACGATCAAATTTCACGAGAGTCAAACGACTCGCGGGTTACAATAGGAATGTCAAATTTTACGAGTCAAACGTCACGAGGGTTAGAAGTGTCACAAGAGGACGATCAAAGTTCACTGGAGTCGACCGATACGAGGGTCATAACCGAATGGTCACATTTCACGAGCGTCAAATGTCACGAAGGTCAAAGGGAGATCGCTAAATTTTCAAATTTTGAAGACCCCGATTAATTACGTGGGAGCGAACGTCGTTTAAGCATAGGATTCCCTTCTGATCCTCGAGAGTTTGTTCATCTGCATATGACGTTAGACCCTCATGAAAAATGACCATTGTGATAGACTACCGTGGCCAAATTTCATTATTCCATCGTGATCCTCGTGACGTTTGACCCTCTTTAAAACTTGACGATTCCCTTGCGACTCTGGAAACGCTTGGTCCTGGTGAAATTTGACCATCCTCCAGTGACTCCCGTTATACGTTTGGCCCCAGTAAAAATTTAACCTTTTCCTTGTGACCCTCGTGCCGTTTGATCCTTGTGGAATTTGACCACCTCCTTGTGACAGTTGTGAAATCTAATCATCTCCCCGTGACTGTCGTGTCGATAGTCACTTTCAGAAAATTACTCATTAATCGGCCGTTATAAAGAACCATCCATAATGTATTATGAATTTGATCATTCATTGACCATAAAAATATAAGTTATTAGTGTAAAATCGAGCAGCAGAATAAAGTGGTGAGGATTTTCATTTCATTTTCCGACAATGGCTCCGTCGAATTGATGAGATTCATAAAATTTATTCAACTCACGGAATTAAAACTGAAAATGTCGAGTTTCACAAGAGAACGCGAGACAAAATAAGAATTTTTTCCTCTTGCTCATATGCAACAAGACAAGAGACAAATTTTCTATTGCCAATTGGAACAAGAAGAGACACGGAAGAAGCTCTAAGATCGCAAGACAAGACAGAAAACTACGTAACACTACATATACCCATGTATTATGATCTGTACTCAGAAAATCCACCACCGATAAAAGTCATCTTCCGTGACTTTTATTAAACCAACTGCTCCGTTATTCTGACTAAAGGATTGAGATCCTCCTCAGATGCAACTCGGACATGAGTCAAATGCACCTTGTTCGTGGAAAGTAAGTATTTAAGAGAAAACTGTCATTGTTGTTGTTCTATCATAGTTCATTTTACATTCATTCATTCATTTAGATTCATTCGTTAAATTTACTTTTGCTTAGTTATACGTCAGTTCAAAATACGTGGGTAATGAGGCTGTCTGCGCATGCGCAAGGCGACAGTGGCGCTAACGTCGTCTCAGTTTGGAAGCTTTGACAGCGTTCACTGATTTCAGGCTAGGCGGATGCCCCTGGGGACAGCCCTCCACTTTTGCTTCGTTGTCAGCTGCGGTTAGTGATATGCTCGCCAACATGCTTTGTGTCCAGTCAATGACAGTCTCTGGAAAGCCTCTCTTTGACATGGCTTTCATTATGACATCGTATCTGGTACGATCAAAAGCTCCCTCGATGCCGAGAAAGATTTCCATCGCGTAGCCCTTCTTCTCTATCTCTTCCTCAACCTTTGCCACAAGGTGGTGCAGGGTCATCTCGGTGGACCTCCCCTCCCTATAGGCATATTGCGAGGAGAACAGGGGTCGGTCTATCAGCAGTGAGTTTTTTATGTATCCATCCATCAGCCTCTCCAACATTTCGAGAATGAAGGAGGTTAGACTGATGGGTCTGAAGTCTTTTGGCTTGACATAGCCATTCTTTCCAAGCTTGGGTAAGAAAATGATCTTTGATTCCCCTCGCACCTGCGGTAAGGTTCTCAGAGCCACACTGTGGTTTGGGTGAAACCATGCTTCTGAAGATTATAGAGAGGCTGTCGATACCCTGTCGTCTTATCTAGAAACTCACCTAGCTGTGTTCGGGGGAAACGGGCCAACGTACAGGCGTTCCAACTGGACGATTCTAGAGGCGCTATCGACTTAGACTAGGGACCAACGGCTAGGTGAGAGGACTACCGCTCCCTCGATTGCCGTCGAGCTAATTGGTGGTGGTGGGGTAACGGATGACCCACCGCCGCTGAGATGTTCAGACTAGGGGGAGAAGGCCCTAGTGGATTTTGACACAGTCGGTGACAGGCACTGGAGTCGAGCGGATGTAAATCGTCCGGTCCTCGACGACGGTTGAAAGTGGCATTAGTCCATTATGGATTATGGGGGTCCGTTGTGAGGACGAGGTCCGGAACAGTGAGAGAATGGGACGCTTCGGCGTCCCAAACAGAAGGATCGGATTACTTTGAGGACGTGGAGTATTTTAATTCCATGTCCTCAGGGATCCATCGCTTCGGACGAAAGAAGTGGTGTTGGCGTGGATCCGTGGGCCGGGAGTAGGCCGACTCCTGGAGGCCCGATCGCACGTACCTCCACGACGAGTACTCTGGGTGTTGGCCCGCGATGATAGTGCTTTTACCGAGCATTGAGGTTGAGTTGGGGTGGGCACAGGTGGATGAGAACAAGTCTCCGGGAACCTGTGTCGCATGTGCCTCTCAGTGTTCGGCGCTCCGAGGAGTGAGAAGGATTCGCAAGTGATGGTCGACTTCTCCAGAGTTGAGCCACTCTGGAGAGGAAAGGAATACGTCAGAGGAATGGAAACATTCTCGGCGAAAGATACATGGAGGAATGGCTCCTGGAAGATACGCTTAATCGAAGTCCCTCGGCTGAAGAGACGAGGATCGATCGAGTGAAATACTCCTAGTATGGTGAACCTCGCCCACTCTGCCGTTTTACGCTGATGCTGGCTCGGCATTGTTACCCCCGCCACGAAAAGTCCTCAGGGTAGACGAGTTATCCTCTGAGGCCGGTATACCATTGGATTTTCCGTGAAAATCCAGCTGGCGCCCGACTTAATTGAGCGATAGAGGAGATGCCCAAAATAGTTTGGGATATTTACTGGTGGAGCACCGGCAAAAATCCTTTACAAGTTTTATGGGAAAAAGCCTTTCGGCAGAAAAAAACTCAGATTTAGTATCAATACACTAAGTTTGGAGGGTTCACTGCGAATGGCGGTGACACACGTGTATTCACACACACATACATACAACACAGTATATTTTTTAGCTTGTTTAACGGTTCACGACAACGGCTAGCACGTGTCCACAAATATAAATATTGAACCTACACTAAAAACTTGATAACGCAGGCTAATTTGGGGGTTAGTTGGCGCAATCGTTGATTGCGTCCTTGGAAGCATGGCCTCTGTGCCACGTGGGGACACAAAACGTGTGATACCGTGCCGTTGATTGTTCGTTTGTTTGATCGCTAATTCAATGCCACTTTGCTATTGAATTTCGGTTCACTAGTGCACTAGTTTGTTGTTAGTTGGTTTAAGTTGTTGATTTTGTTGGGTTCGTTTAGTTTAAAGTCAAGATGACTCGGTAAAATTTGGATTTTTATTAGCAATCCACACACGCTTCAGTGTTGGATTTTACTAACTGACGCCATAGCGTCCGTCGGCGTGCGCACAGCCCGTCAACAGTGCTTGAGAGGTGCTGCCACCATTTGCCGGCTGTAAACGTCGGCGTGGCCACATACTAGCGAAAACAGCACCCGTAAGGTGCTGCCACCGCTTGTCGCCAGCATCTGAACGCGGCTTTAAACCTTCGCAGGTGTTACGATGTAACAATAACCAACTTCCTGGGGCGTTAGCGGACCAGGAAGTCGACAAAGACGGTTCTGGGATGATTAGGACCAGACCGAAGTTCAACGGAGCCGCGAGGTACCACTTCAAGGGGGACCGGGGGATCCTCAGGGCTGAAGGAGCCCAGGGGAAACCTGCTGGGGGGAGTGACGCAACGGTGCAGGGTGTGAAGCGTCCAACACCCGAGCATAACACCCCTAGCCCTCAAATAAACCGACCAGAAAAACGGGCCAAGACTGGTGGTATCTACGCACAGGCGGCATCTAAGATGCTGAAACTGGCGTTGGTTCGATCCGGGTCCCGAAGGCGACCCGGATCGAAAGATCACCAAAGAGGAGATCAGGGGCCTGACGGGACTATTGAGATCCCAGATCCTCTCCATAGCAGAGGGGACGAAGACGCCGATCTTTCAGGGCGTCTGGGAAAGAGACGGAGCGGCCATCATTGGCTGTTCCGACGAGGAGATGGGGACGTGGCTTAAAAGCCTATTCCCCGATAACAAAATTGGGGAAACGTCCTTCCGGGTGCTGAGGCCTGAGGAGCTGCCAAAGCGCCACAGGTTCGTGGTGCACGTGGAGGACGATGAAGTGACTACCAAGGAGGTAATTAAACTCATGGGCAGGCAAAACCCAGGATTATCACCGGATAACTGGCGAGTGGTCAAGAACAGCGAGAGTACGGGAGCTTCGAGCACCCACTTGGCTGCCCTCGTTGATGAGGAAACACTGTGGGCCCTAAAGGCCCGCAACTTCTGACTCCACTGCGGGACTCAAAGAGCATCGGTCAAGATGCTAAGTCTAACTGGCAAAGTGGACCCCATCCAAAGGACAAATCCAAGGAACACAGATTGGGAGGGATACAAAGCGGAGCTTTCACTGAGGATCCAGGATCTATCCTGCCGATTTGAAAACAAGGAACGACTGAAACACGCAGCCGAATGTTTCGGAGAGGCGATCAGATGTTCCTTTGAAAACAACTGTAACATACGTACTCACAAAGAAACCAAAAAGGTGAGCTGGTGGAATGACACGCTAGCACACCTGAGGGACCGACTGAGGAAGGCATGGAACAGGGTTAAAAACTCTCACGGAAACTCACGTAAGAGACAAGCGATGGAAGAACGTAGGTGTCTCCAGAGGAAATACAACAAAGCCCTGGTCAAAGCCAGGAATGAAGGCTGGAAGAGGTTCAACAGCGGAATCGGGAGTCTCTTTGAGGCCTCTAGGCTAATAAAAGTCCGGGGGACGTAGAGAAGCGCCAGTCTAGGCTGCCTGATCAAGCCGGACGGCAGCTATACCTGGACCTCGGTAAAGACACATGAACTTCTGCTGGAAGTGAACTTTCCTAGCTTCACCAGACAGGACGGCTTACAACAGGCCTCTAGGGTAACTGGAGGCCGATACAAATCGCGAGATTGGGCTCTAGCAACCAAAATTGAGTACCCATACGGGGTAGAATGGGCGATTAAGCCCTTCGAACCCCTAAAAGCACCAGGACCAGATGGCATCTACCCAGTGCTTTTGCAAAAGGGGATGGACATCATCTTGCGGCTACTCACGAAAATACTCAGAGCCAGTGTGGCTCTGAGCCAGACGCCGGTGATAATCCTGGGTTTTGCCTGCCCATGAGTTTAATTGCCTTCTTGGTAGTCACTTCCTCGTCCTCCACGTGCACCACGAACTTGTGGCGCTTTGGCAGCTCCTCAGGCCTCAGCACCCGGAAGGACGTTTCCCCAATTTTGTTATCGGGGAATAGGCTTTTAAGCCACGTCCCCGTCTCCTCGTCGGAACAGCCAATGATGGGCGCTCCATCTCTTTCCCAGACGCTCTGAAAGATCGGCGTCTTCGTCCCCTCTGCTATGGAGAGGATCTGGGATCTTAATAGTCCCGTCAGGCCCCTGATCTTCTCTTTGGTGATCTTTCGATCCGGGTCGCCTTCGGGAACTAACGCCAGTTTCAGCATCTTAGATGCCGCCTGTGCGTAGGTACCACCAGTCTTGGCCCGTTTTTCTGGTCGGTTTATTTGAGGGCTAGGGGTGTTATGCTCGGGTGTTGGACGCTTCACACCCTGCACCGTTGCGTCACTCCCCCCAGCAGGTTTCCCCTGGGCTCCTTCAGCCCTGAGGATTCCCCGGTCCCCCTTGAAGTGGTACCTCGCGGCTCCGTTGAACTTCGGTGTGGTCCTATTCATCCCAGAACCGTCTTTGTCGACCTCCTGGTTCGCTAACGCCCCAGGAAGTTGGTTATTGTTACATCGTAACACCTGCGAAGGTTTAAAGCCGCGTTCAGATGCTGGCGACAAGCGGTGGCAGCACCTTACGGGTGCTGTTTTCGCTAGTATGTGTCCACGCCGACGTTTACAGCCGGCAAATGGTGGCAGCACCTCTCAAGCACTTCTCTCTTGACGGGGTGTGCGCACGCCGACGGACGCTATGGCGTCAGTTAGTAAAATCCAACACTGAAGCGTGTGTGGATTGCTAATAAAAATCCAAATTTTACCGAGTCATCTTGACTTTAAACTAAACGAACCCAACAAAATCAAAAACTTAAACCAACTAACAACAAACTAGTGCACTAGTGAACCGAAATTCAATAGCAAAGTGGCATTGAATTAACGATCAAACAAACGAACAATCAACGGCACGGTATCACACGTTTTGTGTCCCCACGTGGCACAAAGGCCATGCTTCCAAGGACGCAATCAACGATTGCACCAACTAACCCCCAAATTAGCCTGCGTTATCAAGTTTTTAGTGTAGGTTCAATATTTATATTTGTGGACACGTGCTAGCCGTTTTCGTGAACCGTTAAACAAGCTAAAAAATATACTGTGTTGTATGTATGTGTGTGTGAATACACGTGTGTCATCGCCATTCGCAGTGAACCCTCCAAACTTAGTGTATTGATAATAAATCTGAGTTTTTTTATGCCGAAAGGCTTTTTCCCATAAAACTTGTAAAGGATTTTTGCCGGTGCTCCACCAGCAAATATCCCAAACTATTTTGGGC